GCTGAGGATGCCTGAATGGGTTTCCTCTGGCCTGGATTGGGGCGGATGAGCTGGCTTCTCCTGGGAAACCCCGGGCTCTCTAGCTCTCCATATCTGTAAACTCATCTTTAGCCTGGGCCTCCCACTAGGATTTTTTGGCTCCTGCAGCCAAATACTCTTTTTCATTCTGATTTCTGAAAATGCTCATTCTACTCTATCCTGGCTGCTTCTTGCTCATTCTCAGCCAAGGGGACAGTGATGGTGGCTTCCTCTGCCTCTCTGATAGCAGAACATTCAGTTGAAGGAAGCCTTGAGAACACCCATCCCAAACTATTTGATAGTTGAGGAAACTGAGGCCCAGAGAGGGTGGCTGACTAGACCAGGCTCACACAGTAGTGGATGGTGGAGCTGGTATTGGAAGTAGATCTCGACTCCCTACTGGCAGTTCTTATAGCAATGTCTCCTCTATTTTCTTCTCTTAGGGCTGGGGATGTGGCTCAGTTGTACAGTACTTGCCTAGCATACAGCAGCCCCAGGGTTCATACCAGTATCTATTTCCTTCTCTTTCTCTTTCTCTTCCTTTCCTTTTCTCTGGAAACATTTCCTTGAAGATATTCTCTCTGTGTTAAACAGAAGGACTTGTCAGGTGGTTCCAAGGTGAACTTGCTCCGAGAGCACTGTCTTGGTATGGGTTTTCCCAGTCTTTCAAAAGCCTTTCCACCTTCCTGTTTCTCATATCCTAAGATACCCGGGACCTTGTCCTGGCCTATCTCTGAACCATCTTCTTTAGCTCCTGCTTCAAAGTGCCGAGGAGGAGGCATATGGGAACTTAGGAATTGCTCCTCTCTTTCACCTTCGTTTTCTGGCCTCTGAAATGGAGCAAGAGTCTCAGAAGCATAAATATGGGTACCAGTGTGTACATATATAAATGCAGCTCACAGGTCTCCCAGCAGCAGCTGGGCAGAGGGGAAATGCAAATAGCACCAGGGTTAAAGGATTCTGGGATCRTTGCAGGTACTATCAGGATGGCCAGGAGGGTGGCACGAGAGGCTTCTAAAAGTCCTGGGGGTGGGCACCCCTAGCCACACTCCTGCAAGGCAGATCAGACACCTGGAGAGGCTGGGGGGAGGGAACATTCTGAGTGAAGGGTCTTTGTCTTTACAGGGAAATGCTTGCTAGTTGCTAAGGAACTGGGTGTCTTTCCTGATCCAAGCCTCCGATGTTTTGCTCAGCTTGGGAGGGGGATGCTGGGCTGGGGCCTGAGGCTCCCTTGGCAGTCGGTCCTTTCCCGGGGACTGCCAAGGCTCTAGGGGTCTTGTGGGAAGGCTTTCACCTGGGAGGCATGGTTCTTCACCCTCAGCCTCACTGCTCAGCYGGGCTGGGGAGGTGAACAGGTGAGGTGGAGGCAGGGAAGGGGAGGAAAACATGCACTTACTTAACAGCCCGCCTGCCAGGCCCTGTGCTCCTGTCTTCCCTGCCATGTCACTTCACCATTGGGACATTTCCTGGGAGGAAGGCAGCTGTTTCAATTTTTTTTTTTCATTGGATTGTTTTTTGTACTTGAAACACAGGTTTGGAATGGTTAAATAAATTGCCCAAGGTCACTGGGCTGTCAAGTGGCAGAAGTTCTATGTAAATTTAGGTCTGTTGTGCTTCCACAGCTATACCACCTCATGCATCTGCTAGGGTTTCTTCTCATCCCATGGCTGCCCAGCCATAACGCCTGGAGCCATGGTCACCACCATCACCACCGCCATCAGCAGTATCACCATTGTCACCATCACTTTCATCACCGTCACTACTGCCAGTGTCACCCTGTCACTATCATCACCATCATCACCATCACCACCACCAGCCTCACCATGGTCATCATCACTATCGTTACCAGGATCACCACCATCAACATCACTGTCATCACCACAATCACCATTACCACCACAATCACCATCACCACCATCACCATGGACTTCCTAGGTGGCTTTCTGTCCTTTTCAACCTCTCTTCCTTACCTAAGAGCAGATGGAGGGGGAGAGGGAGCTGGGTGACTCAATGGGTGGAGGGTTGGGAAACTTTGGGGTGGTGCCTTGGGCAGATGGCCTGGGATGGGCCAGGCTATGGCCTGGTGTATTCTGAAGCCCTCACCCTCTCCACAAATCCTACTTGGTCCAGGATGCCTAAAGCTTTAAATTCCTCTGGAAGTACCAGTCTTCCCTCTTTGGTCCACTCCAGATCCTGAATGTGAAAACCCTGGCCCTTATTTCATATTGCCCAGATGGTAAAATTAGAGTGCTGTTTACCTCTGGATACTGTGGTGAGAGCGCTTGAGTTAATACCAGATTCCACCACTACTAAATATGCAACAGATTCCTTAACTCAAAGGAATGTTTCCTCATCTCTGACATGAGAACACCATTATCTACAGGATTAGGTTTTTTTTTGTGACATCTGAATGAGAGAACCCGTATGAGGTCCCTGGCAGGCTGTGAATCAGAGTGGGAATCCGTTAAACGAGATACCACATATAATAAAGCCCGTGGCACAGTGCCTGGTATGCAGACAGTGCTCAATAAATGGTATCTGACAACGATGATGATGATGTTAATGTCGGCTTTCTTTGTCCTTGTCAAGGGGTCACTTCGTCTTGCTTGGCTGCTTGATTAGAGATCTCAAGGCAATTTACATGTCCCTCTTGTTTCCACCAGGAGGAGGTAGTGAAAAGAAGAGGGGTGAGAGGCCCAAAGAGCTTTGCAGGCAAAAAGCTGAGTCAAGGATGATCCCCCAAGGCCCCCTCGTGGCCTCTGGGTCTCCCCTCTGCCCTGGGTCCTCCTCCTCTGTGGTTTCCAGGGATGGCCTGGCAGGGCTGGTTTCAGTCTGAAATCTGGACCAGCTAGCTGTCTTCTTCTTTTTTTTTTTTTTTTTCACATTTTGGGACTAGAAGGGTGGGGGTCTCTCCGGCAGCTGAACTCAAAGCCCAAAACACCAGGGCAAGAGAAGTGGGGGGAGGAAAGCAAGCAAGCCGATAATTTCCTCGAAGGATAAACATCCGATTTTTTTTTCCTTTACCCAAAATAAACATGCTAGCCACAAGGAATTAAAAGCAGAAGACGGGAGGATGTGTCTGGATTTGGGGCTGTTCTAGCAAACTGACCTTCTATTTATTCTGGCCCTGGGCACCCGCCAGAGCTGCCAATTACACTCTACACCTGGTGGGGTGGGGGCTGCCAGGAGAAGGTCCCTAGGAGTAGCAGACTCCGAAGGTCCCTTCTGAGTCTGCCTTCATGACAGTGCAAATGGGCACTTCCTCTGGCTTCTTATTTTATCTCTGCCTGCAGGCTTGCCTGGTGGCGCAGAGGGAGTGGGAAAGTCCCTTTTGCCCTGGGCTGTCATCCAGTGCCCTTCTTGAGCACAAGAATTTGCTGTGCATTGCCTGGGCAGGGACTGAATGAATGTGTCAATGGGAGGAGGACATCATCCAATTGCCTCCCCAGTCACAAACTCATCTCCCACCCACTGCATTGTCCAGAGCCCACCACAAAAGCCATCCAATTAGTTAAAAGTGTGCTCAGCTAGGCTGAGGGTCAGTGGGGGCCCCTGCCTTGCTCTACCTTGGGACATGCTTCACAGAAGGTAATAACCTGGTGTCCAGCTGCAGGCTGCGCCTTTCATCTGGGGATCTCAAAGCACTTTGCACACATGAGTCACCAAGGCTACTGCATCCTAGCCAGAGAGAGGGGCTTATTAAGTCTTGGAGGGAAACTGAACCGAGGAGGTGGTTAGGCAGAGCCGAAGGACTAGTGGGGAATTGGGACACCCAGGCTTAGATTGGAGACAAGCACAGCGTCATCTCCAGAGGGCCTCTGGGTAGGAAAGCCAATAGGCCCACAGAGGAAGCTCAAGGGAAATAGATATGAAAATCCTTTCCCTGGAGATACCGCATGGCTTTGTAAAAGCACACTCTGATTATGTCACCTATCCCCTCCAATCTATCATTTGATGATATCCCATGGCTTCTAGGTTTAAATCCAAAGCCTTAATGTGGCTACAGGCCTAGAGTGGCCTGTCCTGTCCCACCATCCAGCCATTCTCTTCTTTATATATTTCATTTCACCTCTACCACTGGCCCTTCACTTCCTAGGAGAGGCCACACAAGCCCCTGCTGGCCACAGCAGCTCGGMGGAGTCTTGGAATGCCTTCTATCCTGTCTCCACTCAAGGTAAGCCCTACCCCACTTTCCAGCCCTGAAGTTAAACAGCACTTCTTCCCAGAGGACTTGCCTGAGYCCTTCACCCCCATCAGAAACCAGGCTCCCTTGAGCTGGGCACAGTGACCCCATGCCTGAAATCCCAGGGGCTCAGGAGGCTGAGGAGGATTGCAAGTTTGAGGCCAGTCTCAGCAACTTAGCRAGACTCTGTCAAAAAAAAAAAAATGCAAAAGATAGAAAATGTAGCTCAGTGGTAAAGTGCTTCTGGGTTCAGTCCCCCGTTTAAAAGAAAGCAACAAAGAAGAAAGAGAAATCAGCCTCCTCTCTACTCTCACAGTATTTATCACAGTTGGTTATAATTTTCCAGTGGCTATCTGAGGACCCCCCACACACACACACAGAAAGCTCCCTGAGGGCAGCACCATGTCCTGTGTGACCTGATTACCCACACAGTCCCCTGTCTAGCACAGGATAGATGCTGGTAATACTGGTTGAGGGAATGCTGCTGCATGTCAGAACTAGAGAGGCCCATGGTGACAACCAATTGTCCCCTATTGCTTCTGCCTGTCTCAGTGTCATGGCTGGAGGAAGAGTTTTGGGGAGGATGAGTGATTTGCTCAAGGGCCCAGTGACTGAGGGACCCATTACCAGTTCAAGCCTAGGGATCTCCACTTCCTGCTTGTCCACCCATCCCCTGCTCCACCCGTTTGTAATTTCTGGAAAACCCCAAACTCCAGGCTGAGTTCCCCTTGTTGGTTTTGAAGGTTTAGGAAACAAAACATCAAGCCCAGTATGATTTTTTTTTTTTTTAATTTTGAAGATAAGGGACCCATACCCAGAGGGGATTCCATCTGTCGGTAGGCAATGTGGACACRTGCCTAGAAGTTGAAGCCTTGGTCCAGCAGGCGGTTATCTCTACTTGGGTTTGTCCTTGAAATACCTGACGCCTCCTCTGAAAGCCTGGATCATTGGTGAGTCTTGGGAGTTCTGGGTCATGAACTGGGTGCTTGCTTCGGGCTCTCTCAGATGGAAGCGGTTCAGAAAACTTTCCATATTCCAGGAGCCTGGAAGAACAGATGAGCATAGGGAGTCAGTAAGAGGGACCGTGCACCTGAGAGCTGGCAGGGATTGGCCAGCTCTGGGGGCATACGACAAGCTCTCCCGGCTGTGGGGCTGTGAGGACAAATTCCTGGGAAGCCTTCTGGCCCCTCGCTGCCAGGGCTGCTAGCAGAGTGGTCAAGAAGTAGCAGAGTTAGTTGCCTGCTGATCAGAGGACAATGGGGACTAATCCCAGACCAAGTCAAGGCTACCTTGGGAATCCTTTCCCAGGGCCCCTTATGTAGCATACCAAGGCTGGGGATGTAGCTCAGTGCAGAGCATTTGTCATGCAGGCAAGAGGCCCTGGGTTCAACCCCCAGCCGGGAAACAACCACCACCACCAATAATATTTAGCACAGGTTGCCTTCTTTGCCTGCACAGAAAGGAAATGCCAATCAGGTGGGCCCATCACCCCTCCACCCACCCCCTCTTCCTGCAGCTTTCCTGACCCCATGATTGAGGCTCCATTGCTTCTTCTCTCCACACCTGGTCACCCCAAGTGCTGGGGCTGAGACTGGCGGGGCTGTCTGTGCTGGTTCTTACAGTCTCTCCCCAACCACCCCGGGCAACAGGGCTCGCCCTGTGTGGAGGTGCAGCGATGGCATTTGGATTCGGGGGGGGGGGGGGGGAGTGAGTGTGGGAGAAATGTTCCTAGGCTGGGCCTGGAGACACTCAAGCAGCCCAGTTTGAAGGGGGCTCTCCTCAGGGGGAGACGACACACCAGGGGTCACATCTTCTGGGGTGAGTGTGAACAGGCCTCCTGGCAGGGTAAGGAGGGCACTTCCTGGGACACCGGCACCAGGGAGAGGTGAGGGAAGTGGTCAGAGGCACATTCCCACGCTCTTGTTTCCCAAAACCTGAGCCTCAGGCACCCTGGGCAGATGGTTGCCAGAAAAATACAGGAAGCCCAGTTTGGATTTCAGATAAACAACAAATAATTTGTTATGTGTTCCACTTATTACACAGAACATACTTAGACTAAAAACTTTTTCATTGTTTAACCAGATTTCAAATTTAATTGAAATTGAATCGCATCCTGCATTTTTTTTTTTCTTTTGGGGTCTAAATCTAGCCGCCTTCTCTGGATGGAGAGAACACTCAGGAAAGGCCTTGTTCAGAGCAAGTTAGCAAGTGGCAGATTTGCCATGGTCTGGTCAAAACCCATCATCTCCAGACAGAGGAGGGTTAAGGGCTGGCAGCCTGGAATTCTTAAAGCCTCACCTGAGAGCCACAGGTCACCAGTGCCACACCTGTTGGCTCCTGTGTGTACCCATTGCTCTTTTCATAACAAGAAGAAAATGAGTCTGCCCAAATGTTCCTCTTCTCCATTTACCCTCTCCCTCCAGGTGTTTCAAAGATATTCTCAAGGAGAGGACAATTTTTGATCCCCAAACCAAAACACAATAATAGTAATAAAGCAAATAATAATAATAGCAGCAACAGGACACCTCTGCAGTGCCTTCTGTGTGCCCGGTGCTCTCCCAGGAGCACTATACATATTAAGGGTCATATTATGGGGGACTGGGTATATCCCTGGCTCACCGATGGGACGATGGGACCTAGTGCACTACTGGGGAGAAAACTTCTTGGGAGGCAGGGATGAGGTCAAGGTCTTTCCAGGTTCTCTCAATCCCATCTGACTCAGTGACCGTGTACTTGGATTGACCTTGAGAGCTGCAGAATGAGGGCTTGCAGGGGTGTCTCAGGGAAAGGGCAGGGAGAGTCCAGCTTGTTGGATGGGTGCTGACTGCCCTGGTGCTTCCACGGTGTGGCTTTGTGTCACTCCAGAGCCCTTTTGGAGGCACTGTGTCTGGTTGGAGCCTCTGCACCACAGGGATCGTGATGGCTGTAGAGGAATTCTGGTCTAGGAACCTGGGAAACTTTGGCAAGTGTGCATGTGTGTGCACACCAGTGCATGTTTGTGTGTGTTCACGTGCATGCCACGGAAAAGGCTCATGGGTAAATTGATGTGTGGCAAACACAAGGGGACAAGGGGCCTTCCCCATTGAGTGGGACAGGAAGGAACCTGGGTGGCAAGGAGGGAATTGAAACCAATCACGAGATCAGGGCAAGATGATGGAAAGAAATCCCCTATACCCTGAGAGAGACCAGGCTCCCCTCACACGGGAGCACAGGCCTGCCTGCTCAGAAGCTGCCTTCTGTCTGAGCTCAGAGTTGTCCCTGGTGTCTCAGGATTGTTCCCAGCCCCATTTCCGACAACCCTGTGGTTCTCGGGCTCCTTGGGCAGCTGTGGCACCCAGGCCCTGTGCTGGCTAGCCTCGGGCCACTTCCTCCCCTGGCTCACCCAGGACTCCTTAAACACCCCCCCCCCCACCACCACTACCACTCTGTTTCCTGCCACAGAGGGCGAGAGGAACTGACCCTGAGCAAGTTCTAGAAGGAAGAGGGGTGAGTCAGGCCCTCAGGGGTGTATGGGGAGAGATGGGGAGCTGTGGCTTCTGTGGTCGCAGCTCAGAGGAAAGCCCCTTCCTGTATGGCACTGCTCTGTCCCCGAGCTGCAGGGAAGCTGCTGCCACGCAGGAAGAGGGCTGTGTCTGTGCCAGGGCCAGTGAACTTGCAGCCAGGCTGGACTCTACCTGGGACAGGGCAGGGGCGGTGAGTGCACTCCAGAGGCCTCTGGGGGAAGGCAGCCTGCTAGTCTGTCTCTTGAGCTGTACAGTGGCAGCCACACAACGTCCTGGGCTCCTGGGGTCAGGGCTGCCACCTGATGTGTAGGTTGGTCCCTGCAGGACCCATTTCTGCAGAACCAGCTGCACACCCTGCCTCGAGGCCGTTCCCTCCCTTGCTGGTCAGTGCCACTGGAGACCTTCTTAGGTGAGGGCTGTTGGATGCTGGACATGTTTGGGCAGGAGGGGGTTGGGGGACAGCTCATTTAAAGCTTGGGTGTTTCTGAGCCAACATTCTGTGCCTGACCTCCCGTCCGACACCAGGTGGAAGGAAGGACCCCTGTCTCTAGCAGTGGGGGTGGCCTCGTTCTCTGATTCTCAGTCCTAGGGACAGCCATGGCTGGATGTTTGGAAATGACTCTGGAGGAGGATGTCTCGGCAGTCACTCTTTCCACTTCCAGGTCCTGAATCTGAGGGGCTGGCTCTGCACAATTTGGCTTATCACACCATCCCCCTAGCTAGCTCCCTAGGGCCTGTGAGGGCCAAATGGGCCTCCAAGAGACTGAGAAGGGGATGTGCCCCCTTGTATTGTCCTGATTCCCCCAGGCTCAGGAGAAGGCGGAGACAGCGCCTCTGCTAGAATGCACATGCTCAGTTGAGGGGACCTGGGATGCAGGGTCCCTTAGCTAACACTGGCAGCCATCCCTGGGCCTCTGTCAGGCAAGTGGGATGAGTGCTTTACCCGGTCTCACTCCTGCCCTCAGTGACTTTCTAACAACACAATCCACAGAGGACAAATAAAAACTAGTCCCTGGAAGGGAGGCCTTGGCCAACAGCTGGGGCCCTTGACAGATGCTCACAAGCCCTTCCGTGGGCCAACTCTTAGGCTTTTCACCAGCAAAGGACAGTGCTTCCTGACCCCTGACTTGCCAAGGACATTCCCCACCGGACTTGTCACTTGTCCTTTGAGGGCTCTGAAGTGTTTCCCTGTCAGCCTGGGGACTGGGACTGGGGACTGGGAAGACAAGGGTGGGCTGGAGAACAAAGGGGCAAGGTTTTTTTGTTTTTTTTTTTTTAAAGAGAGAGTGAGAGAGGAGGGAGAGAGAGAGAGAGAGAG